TCTAAAGAAGTCGTCATCCGGGAGAAAATGGCCAAGGTTAAGAATGACAAGGCTGCTAAGGCAAAGCCCCAGCCCCGAGTCAGAAAAAGCCTGATTGATAAGGCAGACGAGCACATCTTCGCTGGCTGCGATACCTTTATCCAGATAAGCCGAGCTGAATCTTTAAGCACAGGAGCCGATCTTTTCGGTTCCCGGGTAGAAGTCGCAACATCTGGCTCAACTGCGCACGCACAGCCCTCTCCCAGCCACTCGATAGCCTCTCAACAGGTTATTGTTTCAAAAGAACGGGACTCAACCCCCTCACTGGTTCCTTCTGAATCAGTTGAGCGTACATACAGGTGCACACACCCTGAACGCAACAACCAGAGCGCAAGCTATGACGGTTGGAAGCCCTGTTACGCCCACAATGATTCCATCATTGCACGCAGGGCACACATCAGCAATCTTCACTGATGTTGTGTCAACAGTTACAACCCCCGTAACTGGTCACCCAACCTTTGAAGACGTAAACGTTCTTCTAAATCGCTTCCTAGATTCCACCATTAAACCATGGGTGCAAGATGCAATGACCGCTCTGGCACAGAAATTTAGGACCACCCAAGCGGTTCGGTCTGAACAAACCCCACCCCAACCTTCACCTGAACCGTTCATCTCCCATTCACAGCCAGTACCCTCAACCCCTCTATCCCACCAATCCATCAATCAAATACCCATTCCCTCACTTTCTCGGGGAACCCAGGATACAGAACTAGTATTCTCCCCACACCCGACCACACCCTCCATCGATCTCTCCTCACTATCCTTCGACATCCTTGCATCGGCTTTGCTGGACAACCTTCTTAACATCCCCGAAGCCAAACTTACCCGTCACCAGCAAGCCATACTCGAAGCCCTCCTTTCTTCCCTGGAAACCAAGAGCAAATGCAAGGAGAGTCCTCGTGGTCGCAAACGTTCCCATGAGGACCCTGATGATTCGGATCCTCATGAGGGGGAGAACAAGCGACCTCGATCACTTGAGCAAACTGCTTTACCAAGCCAAAATCCACAACCAATCCAACCCGAAACCTCTACAAACCAACAGCCACCACCCACAGCCAAAATATCTAGCATGGTCGAGCTAGACGTAACATCCCGAGGCGTATTTCCCAGAGATACCAACCGAGGAGGGGATGGAAGTCCTGATGATGTTACCACCGGTACATCTTTTACATCAGGCCATCAGTTGGAACCTAGTTCTAAACTGATGTCAACGGGCAATCCAAGTGAACCCGGTTGTGCTACCCAGGAACAATCACTGCCTCAAAAGCAGCAAAGAGTTCCATACATTTCCCCAGGCAAGGACATCCACGATGCACTGGAGGAGGCGGTGATATATGATAAATGGCCAAGACAATGGACAGAATGGGATGATCTCCGCAATGAGGCTGAAGTAGAGGACATGCAGAGAAATTGGTGGCTACGAGAGCTAATCAACAAATGTTCTGAAGATATCATCAGGTTCGAGGACGATGAACGCAAGGAAGGGGAGAACTACAAGGAATCCCAGAAAACTCTTGAATCCGTCGTAAGACAATCATCGGGAAGATTTCCCAAGACAGAGAAACCCTGGGACAACGTTCGAATCAAAGCCCCCTTACAAGAGGAAATCAGAGAGCATACCTGGCGTAGACCAGACAAAGTCAAACCACTAAATGAACTGAAGCGAAGAGGCCTTACCCATCTAAAAGGAAAGCAGGCTGGAGGTCATCTGCATATGCTATTACAAAGGTCAACCGGTACTCAGAGAGAGCTGATGGAACAAGATTTGAAGTCCAATATTCTCCCGATTCATCAAATTCTACAAGTGAAGGCCGAGGATAATCATGGAGTGACATTCTATACTTACAGGCTTCAACGCACTGACGGGAGTGAATTTACTTGCCAAGAGAATGATTTCATCATGCTGAAACCCGACGACATCTATCAAATGTTCATGGCCTATCGATACCTTCCAGTCAGGCAGAGCAAAACATACAACGAAGGTCTTGCAGCAATCAAGAGATTCATGCTCAGACAGATCAGAGTACATTCTTCACACGACCTACAGATGGCTATTGAGTGCAACCTAACAAAGACAAATCTGACAATGCCAAAGCTGTATGGTCCAGAACTCGAAGACTTCCCAGCTTACCACATCTTCTTCACACCGCCAGCAGTCACTTATCTGAGCCACAAGAACGAAAAACGTCTGATGGTAGTCAATGAAATTGAGAAATACTGTGACGGAACGCTGAAGATAATCAAAGAACAGCTTCTAAAGATGAAGGCACAGCTAGAGGAAAATCTTCAAGAGGCATCGTCATATGTTCAAAAGGAACACTCTACAGTAGAGACAATTTTAAAGGCCATTGACGATCGCCTAGAAAAGAGAAATATGCTGAGGCAATATGAGCATGCACTAAATATGAGGAAGCACTACTTCAAGTCGCAGAAGCAATAACAAAGTGGCACTTGATCACAAAGGGGGAGATTGTTGGAGATATTTTAATTGTGAATCAAGTTTGTCAAAGATTAGCTTTATTATTAATCCTTGTATTTAATTAGTGCATGAATTAGATAGAACTCGGGCCAAGTGTTAGGCCCATATAACCAGGCTAAAAGCCTTGTATGCCTAACCTAAACCTCGCTTATAAAAAGGGAGCCGAGGGTTTAGGATTAGGTTAGCGTCGTACTTATTCTCTATAGCCTTACGCGCATATCTTTCTGTTGTACGAGTTCACGGTCTATCAAAGAGGGTTTTACATTGATTCAATTTGTGTTCATCCTTACGTTTAATCTTTGTTGTTAGATCGTTATTCATTGCTGTTACAGAAACAGGGACTATCAAGACGGCTTCCGAGCAGCAAAGGCTCCCAGCGGCAACGGCTCCCAGGGCGACGATAATAGGTAGCCGGCGGAGAGCGGTGATCTGATTTAGATCTCCCATTCTCTCCGAACATAGCGGTAGGCTGCCTTCTCTCCAGGCCTAACGGGAGCTCAGAAGAATGAATAGGATCCAAAGACTGCTTCAAGCCCAAAATTAATCCTCACGATGATGGGTCACGATTCTAGCAACCCAATTTAAAACTCATGGCAATAGCTAAGTATCTAAAACTCGATCCGTACAATTTGTATGTGACAATATTTGATCAAAAAATTATAAAATGATTCAATAAAAAATCATAAATTGAAACATTTGAAAATATATTTTAAGTGATATGATTGCTTTTACTCTTGTTAAGTGTGTGTAACTTTAACATTGAACAACGGACTTATGAAATCTGATCACTCAAGTACGCCGGACGAGCACACACACTCGTACACTGGTCGAGCACACACACTCGCGCCACCGGGTCACGTCATATGAGTGTGGCGATTAATAAGCTCCAATATAAATGTTAATACCGCACACTCTTGACTTCATACGAGTTCTTGCGTGCTCTTACCTTACCTAGTGCATCACACTCCGACCTCGGGGGACGAGTCACCCGTTCAAAAGTTTTTACTTGCGGGTTCGAACTACTAACCTCGGGCGGCGAGTTAAACTCTTGTTAGGGGCCTAGAGCCACACTCTTCCGAGCAATTTTGACACTTAATTGACATTCACATTTCTCGAAAAGGTTGATATACTTTAGTTCTTTGGGGTTGGATTATCCGTTCGAGTGAGGAGTCCGACTCACTTACTCGCGGATTCAATCTTTCTTTCTCAGACTGGGTTGAGGCCTAACTTGAGAACTTGATGTCACTCTTTTCAACTAGTGAGTCCGCTCACTTACACGCTGAGCCGTGGTTTGACACCAGGCCAGATGCTCTATTCTACACTAGTTTCTTTTATGTGTAGGTACAACTGAATGAAGTGGGGGACTGAGGGTCTTACCGTCTTCAAGGAAGCAAATGACAAACCTGACAAGTCTGAGTCCGACGAGAAGAACAGTTCTAGCCATCTTATTCGCAGATGGCGACCATTGCAATAAAGGCTGAGGATCTCACCTCTTGCTTCATCTTGGGGGCGTCAGATGTACTCTTTCTCCCTTCATCAGGATTTTTCCCATTGAGTTTTTTCCAAATGAAGGTTTTTAATGGGGCATCTCCCCAACATGGATAAGGGCGAGGATCTTCTAGTCTCGGAGAAGAGCAACTGACTTGGACTACTCCCTCTTAGCCGAGTCTACTACTCGACTAAGGGAGTGGGGGACTCGTGATGGAGTAATGGGACTAGGCCCAGAGCTTAATCAAGCCAAGCTCTGAACTTGGACACATGGATCCAAGTCCACAACCTGGAGTTTGCTTGCCAACCCAGCGGGGAGCCTGCCAGTCCGGCCGACCTCCTAGCCCGGAAGAGTAACGGTCAAGCAATTTATGCGCTATTAATTATGTATTTAATTCCGTATTAATGTTGTAATTAATTAGTCATTATTATCGGTAACAGTTACGATTTGTATACACCTATAAAAGGTGGGTTGTAATTCAGATTAGGGGTGACGATTTCTATAAGCTATTTCTGGCAACTAAACACTTTTAGCTTCTTTCCTTATTCGCATTATTTTCCTAATTTCCTGCTTGAGTGTCGTATGCAGCTTTCCTAAAAGCCTACGAGCGTCCTATTTTGGACCAACAGTCACATAAGGCCATGTACTCAATAAAGTGTCATATAAGTATTTCTATTTGTAAAAAACAATCAAATGAGTCATAATGACCTATTTAACACCTCTTATTCCCGATTTCAACATACTTCTGACCATCTTTTTAAAATACATTATACAGCATATGTCGAATATTTAACTAAGATTGGTTGAAAATTTGAAATACAAATCAAAAAAATCGACATGTAAGCTAAAATCGGGATTATGAGGTGGTAAATAAATCGTTAGGACTCATTTGATTTCTTTATACAAGTAAAAGTACTTATATGACACTTTACTGAATAAATGACGTATATGACTATTTCTTATGTTACCGACTTTATATTTCCTTTCTTCTTCTTTCTAAAAGAAAAACTCTTTCTACGCGTGCCTTTTAAAATATGGAGCAGAGTCCTGCGTCATCGACATGTACTTGAGTTGAAACCAGACACAGTAAGTTAGTTCGATTTGATTAATTTGTAAAGTCTAAGAGGGCATGAGATCGAGGGCGAAGAAAGGAGAAGCAACGGCATAATAATTTATTTTCTACTCAGTAATCAGTATTATACAATTTCTATTCTAATAATCCCGTTCATCTAACGGGTCTCAAATTAGGGTTGACATTCCCGAGGTTTCTCCTTTTCGTCAATGGTAAGCTACCACATTTCGCACTGAAGTTCTCGCTCAAACCGTAGCTTTCTTCATCAACCTGTTTCAATTGAGCTTAGCATTTACCGGGACAGATGATAGAATCTTGAAACTCTCGAGTGAGGCTAGCAGTGCCCTTAGTGAGCCCATGAACCGGAAAAGTATCCTTCTTGTTTTAAAAGAATTAATTTTTGTTATCCAATTAAAAAGAATTAGTTTTTAACTTCTATAATTATTATTATATAAATAAATATTAACCCCGTTTGCTGTATTTTAATGAAGTGAGTTTGGAATGAGGACTTGCATGTATAACTATAATCTCTTTTTTCTTTAAGGGCTGAATAATTTCTATATTCTTCAGGAGTTGTTGAAAGCTTGAAACTTGCTCGTGGTACTAGGACTGGCATGCTTATTATTTATGTTGTGGTTAGGCTCAAGAGAGGTTAAGGCAATATTTTTTAGGAATTTTATCAATTCAGGATCCGTAAGATAGATGAATTATCGATTCGGGATCTATCGGTGTAGGACTCAAATGATGAAAAACTATCAATCTAGGACCTAAAATTTCATAGGTTTTGATTTATTTAATTTTTTATTAATTCCATTGCTAATTTTTGATAAACTTTTCTTCACAAAAGTCTATTAGTTTCATAAAACTAAATAATATTTAAAAATTTTAAGATAAAAAAATTAATAAAATTTCGGACAATTTAGGTCCTAAATTGATAATTTCCAATCATTCAAGTCCTAAATTGATAGTTTTCCATCATTCGGGTCCTATATCGATACATTTCATCTTTCAGGTTCCGGATTGATAACTCATCTATCTTTCGGATCCTCAATTGATAAAATTCCTATTTTTTAACTTTAACATTTTTGTATGAATCAAAAGCAACAGCTTTTAATATATGCAGTATTTGGATGTTATACGTATACAAAAAAACTAAAAATAGATGCAACCTCCCATATATGGATGTAATTTTTTACAAGCACACTGTTCCTGTTTCTATTTCTGGTATTCTCAGGGAAGGAAAGAATTAAGATCTGGGTGGATGTAAATTTTGTTAGGACACTGCTCCTATTACTATTTCTGTGTTATTAAGATCTATATGTGAAGATTTTGGACCTTAAACATTCTATTTACTTTCAGAAACATGGTTTGTGATACTCGGTCAAGGAGCAAAATGGGGAGTGACGATGACAATGATACTTCGAAGAATAGAGTGGCTGATGGAGAAGGAACATCCCCAGGCACTAAAAAGACGGATTGTTTAGGTTTAAGGAGGGTAGCTCAGGTAACCTCATCAAAACATACAAGCACAAGCCCATCACCTACCAGGAAGTCTGAGCGGATTCAGAAGAAGACTTCACCCATAACTCCTACCAAATCTGGCAAAGTTGATAAATTGGACACTCCTAGTCCTTTGAGGAGGTCTGATAGAGGCAAAAGCAATGTTTCTTTGTTGTCAAAGGTCCCAGAGAATGAATCTAATTCATCTCACATTAAGATACATGACCACAAAGAGGAGACAATGGAACAACTGATGATGGAATCTGAAGATGCTAACACTAGCAGTAAGGTCCATTACAAGAGCTTGTCCTCTATTGGAAAGAAAAGGAAGAGAGTAAATAGCCAAAGATATACGTTTTTTCTCAAGAGGCGACGGAGAAAGGGTACACCATCAGGTGGACAATATCTGTTCTTTCATATCCTCATCCATGGTTCCAGGCCCCACAGATGTCTTTTCCTGCATCTTTAGAGGAATTTTTAATCTAGGAGGAGAGATGCAACACTTCCTCCTATTATTTCCTTAGAAACCTGAAATCTGCCAGCTTTAACATTAATTTCAGTTGTACAGAAATCAGAAAGTTGCTGTTGAAATAATTCATAATTTTAAAGTCGAAATGCCTTAATATTGCTTGGGTGGTTTGTTGTTGCACTTTTTGCCATTTTAGGAAACACTGACGTGAATGTATTTATCCCATGTAGGAATTATTACCAAGTCAAAAAGACCCCTTAAGTTTCCTGTAGCTGATAGCAGTGACTTCGGAAACGAGGAGTCCAAGCTTGCTGAGGATAAAGAAAATGCGGAAGTTGAGTGTCATATAAAGGTTGGAGAAAAATTTTCAGTTCACCTTGCTGCATGTGTTGCTGAAGGAAACTCCAAAGATGTGCTTGAGACTTTCCCTGTTATGGAAACTTTAAAGATCCCAAATTTAGTATATTCTGCTTCTGCAAATAGCGAAATTAATTCAGAAAGTGTTGATCATGGAATAATAAGAACATCAAAGACACATTTGAGCACCGAGTTTGAAGTCGAAATGGCAGATGCAAACATGCATAAATGCATCCATAGGCCTGCTTCAACACCATTAACTGGGCATGAGAACCAGTTGTTTGCTGGGTCTTGTGTTTCATGTTCGAAACAGCTATGGTAATTCTTGTAATTTTTGTTTGCAAAATAGAATATTTGCATTCTTGGCTATTAACAAATTGCTGGATTTTATGTCGTCAGTAAAGATGCTGAAAGTCTACAATTATATGTACTTTTATGTGTAAGTGCAACAGTGCTTTATGCTAGGTTTACTTATAATTTAAAAGAATATGTTCTAATGCTAGCTCCCCCCCTCCTACACAGTACACACCCTAAAAAGGAGAAAAACGGAAAATGAGTGGATGGGCTGATATGAATGAAATATTATTTTCCCTTAATTGTGTTTGGAATCATTGCAGTTTCATACTTTCATATGCTTTCATTCCCTGATTCTGCTCTTAACCTCAATATATGGATGTGCTCATGCATTTGATTTGTAAATAACTTTGGTTTTATATGATAATTTTAAAGTTTGAGTTAATCTTTTCACTTTGCAGGGCGGCTCATGATTCACCAAAAGTAGAGCTCTGCTCATGTGTTGCAATTTCCAATAATGATGCCTCTAACTTAGCCAGTCCTAAGGTTAGTTTATGCCTTTATGGTGCCATTTGATATCAACAGTTTAACACTAAGAGAAAGAAAAAGGTTGACTAGCAGGATTCTTAAGACCTGCCAGGCTTCAAGTTTACGAGCTTTTATAGATCCATACCTTCATATTTTCACAGGGTTATATTATGATTTATGAGACTGCTTAGTTGACTTAGTTCAATGAAAGACATTAACCTGCACACAACGACTCATATACCATTGAACTTAAAGCGTGACTAGTGACTAACTTTTAGCATATCAAGATTCAGAAGCTTTTTTATGATCCAATTAATATGTGTTATGTATTCATCAATGGTAAGTCTTTGGATATCTCAAACACTATCGTCGTTGTAAGTGAGGGCCCCTTGTTAGTGCAGTTCACATTACTTTATTCTGAGCTATTTTATGTCAAAGAATGTTCACACCTTTTAGTACAATAGTGAAAGCCTTCCACTTCGTACTTGTAAGTGAGGATCCCTTGTTAGTCACATGACATGAATTAAAATATGAATGCTACAGCTACGTCGTCGCTCGAAAGCGGCGCATCACCCCTGCTCTTGGGGGGAGTTTTTAATTTAATTAGCTTCAATTATGTTAGTTCTTTTATGATTGCTATTTATTATATTAGAATTCCCTTAGGCTTTGTGCGCAAGTAATTCCTTTCCCCTTAGGCTTTGTGCGCAAGTAATTCCTTTCCCCTTAGGCTTTGTGCGCAAGTCTGTTTCCCCTGAGATAGGCTACTTACAATTAATTTCCTTCCCCTTAGTCTTTGTGTGCAAGTCTGTTTCCCACTGGGATAGGCTACGTACATTTAATTAGCTTATTTAGTTTCGTACTGGAACTTGGATGTATGTAGTATTATTTATACCCACGCAGGGCTATTCAATCGATCATTACTTTATTCTGAGCTATTTTATGTCAAAGAATGTTCACACCTTTTAGTACAATAGTGAAAGCCTTCCACTTCGTACTTGTAAGTGAGGATCCCTTGTTAGTCACATGACATGAATTAAAATATGAATGCTACAGCTACGTCGTCGCTCGAAAGCGGCGCATCACCCCTGCTCTTGGGGGGAGTTTTTAATTTAATTAGCTTCAATTATGTTAGTTCTTTTATGATTGCTATTTATTATATTAGAATTCCCTTAGGCTTTGTGCGCAAGTAATTCCTTTCCCCTTAGGCTTTGTGCGCAAGTAATTCCTTTCCCCTTAGGCTTTGTGCGCAAGTCTGTTTCCCCTGAGATAGGCTACTTACAATTAATTTCCTTCCCCTTAGTCTTTGTGTGCAAGTCTGTTTCCCACTGGGATAGGCTACGTACATTTAATTAGCTTATTTAGTTTCGTACTGGAACTTGGATGTATGTAGTATTATTTATACCCACGCAGGGCTATTCAATCGATCATCAATAAAATTCAGATTTATTAAGCTAAATTAGCTTGGGCAAACAGATTCTTCCGTTGATTATTCTGAGCAGCGGTTTACCCCATTGTTTTTTATTTTATGTTCTCATCATTATGCTTGATTGTGGTGATAAGATTGCTAAGGTTATTAGGTCGTCGCTCGAAAGCGGCTTGCTATCCCAATTCCCAATGCACGGGGATGATGTCAAATATGAGAGGGCATGGTGGGGGTCAAGGTAGTGATAAAAATAGAAGGTGGAATTTTTGATTGCACAGGAAGATCATTTGAGGTAGTCGAGGTTATGGTGAGGAGGGATATCAACATTTATGTGCTTGCAAGAAACTAAGTGGGTTGGGGAAAAGACACGAGAGATTAATCCTGAAGGTTTTAAGTTTTGGTATTTGAAAAGAGACAAGGCTTGAAAAGTTGAACTGGAGTAGGCATTATAGTGGTTAGTGACTATGTTTGGGATGTGGTGGAAGCAGTGTTGTCAAAAGCGCTCGCTTCTGCGCTTAAGCGCACAAAGCGCAGCGAGGTAGACCCCTAGCGCCTGAGTAAGGTAGAAGCGCACAACCCTGGGCAAGGCGCAGCATAAGCGCTAGAAGCGCACGAAGCGCGGAAGCGCTATAGGCGCGCGCCTGCGTCGCCTGAAACGGAAAAGGCTGACAGCCCTTTTTTAGTTTAAAACTTTGAAAAAAAAGCCCATATCTTAATATTCCTCAGCCCATGAAAACAATAGGTTAAAGTAAGTTTAACCTACGTAAAACTAAGCTTAATAGTACGTAAAAACGTAAACTTGCGCAAGACACTACAAAGCTTAACCGCTAGCCATCCTCTTCACTCTCCTCGCTTTCCTCACTCCGTCACTCTATACTCAAGCTGCTCTACACCAGCCGGTTCTTTCAGCTTCATCATCCCAAGCATACGCAGCTCTCCATTGTAGCAGTAAACAAGGTATATCTTCTTTTTCATGCAGTCTCATGCCTTTTCAATTACCTTCATTTACTGTCTTCTTTATCCATAGACTCATAGTACTCTGCTTTTTTATTTTTTAGTATATTACTATGTATATAATACTCATACTGTCATAGTACTCTGCTTTGTAATATACATATATAGTACTCTACATTGTATATAATACTAATATACATACTAAAGTTATATGTTCTTATATGTTCTTAACTTTATATATCAAACTGATTCCATAAAGTTTATGTATCACTGTATCAGTTAACCAACTGATTATATATGTACTAAAGATATATATCTTAACTTTATATGTACTAAAGATATATGTACATATTAAAGTTATATGTGCTAATGTACTAAAGAGTAAAGATGTATGTTCTTAACTTTATATATCAAACTGATTCCATATAGTAACTTTATGTATCAATTAACAAACTGATTCCATTATATATGTACTAACTACTAAAGATATATGTACTGATTCCATCTTTGATCTTTTCTAGGATATGGAAGGTGGAACAAGTTCTGTGGGTGGTGCTGAAAGTGAAAACTCTACAAAAAATGACCCAGCTTGGAAACACAACTACTTAGATGAAACACAACTAATTAGTTAACACAACTACCTAGCTTTTTTGATGCATTTGGTTCAATATGATGTTACATACATCATATTTGGTATTTATAGAATAGTATATGTGACTTTATATAAGTAATGCGCTTCACCCGAGTCAGGCGAGCGCTTTTTTGCGCTTTGCGCCTCAAGCGCTGGAAGACTCCTAGCGCTTCAGGTGCGCCTTACGCCTTTGACAACCTTGGGTGGAAGTCTTTAGGAAGAAATATCACATTATGAGCATCAAATTGGTGATACGAGATAAAATCATGTTCATGGTAAATGCATATGCACCACAAGTGGGGTTGGAATGTTAGATGCATCTATCACTCAACAATTCTGAGAAGATCTTACTTGAGGAAGTGGTGCGACGAGGGCCAAGGGGACACAAGCTCGCTTTAGAAGGACACCTCAAACAGGCATGTTGGTTCAAGTCAAGATGGTTTTGAGAGTATTCATGACAAACATAGTTTTGGCACTAGAAATGAAGTGGGAAAGATTGAAAGAACACTTCGGAGTTTGCCTCGACGTATGGGTTGGTTATAATGAATACTTGGTTCGAGAAAAGAGACTCTTACCTTGTGACCTATAGAAGTGGAGCTAATAATATCCAAATGGACTACTTTTTAATGTGGACTACTTGGAGAACTAGCTACACAAATTGTAAAAGTTATACCATGTGAGTGTTTTGTCACTGAGCATAAGATGTTTGTGCTTGATTTTCCATGTAAGAAGCATAGAAAGCGGGTTTTAAGCGACAAGTGGAGCCAAAGATCAAGCGGTGGAGGCTCGTGGAAATCTCCACAAAGTTTTGGGGAATATGTATGGTGTATTGGTAATGATGTGCGTGTGGAGGATGTGTGGTTATCAATAAAGCAGACCATTAACAAAGTGCCAAATGAGATACATAGGGAATCTAAAGGATACCTGCCACAGAAAAGGACACATCTTCATGGAATGATGAAGTGAAATAAACCATAAGGAACAAAAAGGATTGTTACTAAAATTTGTTAAAAAGTTGGAGTGATTAGAACATATAAGGGTACACGCCTAGTACAAGGAGGGTAAAAGAAAAACTAAGGAAAACTTGAAGGAAACATGAGGGAAAGCGAACAAGAAGTTGTATGTAAAATTGAACTCTAAGGAAGGAGAAAAAGTCATTTATAGACTTGCTCGTCGTCTTGATCGTATGACTCGAGATATATGTAAAATTAAGTGTGTGAAGAATGTCAACCAAAAGGTATTAATGGAGGATGATGAAATAAAGTAGATGTAAGGTCGTACTTTAACACAAGGTTCAATTGGAATAAAGCACAAGATATTGATGATCTTACTATATCAAATTGTATGGTAAATCGGGATATTATCAGAAGAATTCAAACGATAGAAGTTAAAGATGCTCTGAAAAGAATGTGACGGAAGAAAGCCGTGGGCCCAAATGACATACGGATTGAGGTGTGGAGAAGTTTGGGATAGAATGCCAATGAGTTGGCGGAAGAGTACTCTTATCCCCTTATTTAAGAACAAGGGTGGTGAATAATAATGTATTAATGTGGTAACTATTAAGAGATTAAACTTATGAGTCGCACCATGAAATTTTGGGAGTGAGTGATTGAGCAAAGACTTAGAAGAAGTGTGAAGATTTTGGAGAATCAATTCAGTTTTATGTTTGGTCGCTTAATAACCGAGGTTATTCACCTTCTTTGACAACTTGTGGAGAAATACAAAGACACTAACAAGGATCTGCATTTCGTGTTCATTGACATAGAAAAAGCGTATGATAGGGTACCTAAAAAAGTCTTTTGGTGGGATTTAACTTGAAAATACATATCACGCAAGTATAATCAACATCATCATGGATATGTAATAAGGAATGTACTACATGTGTTCGTACTGGTATAGGGAAGAATTTAGAGTTTCCTATTACTATCATAGTGCACCAAGAATCAACTTTATGTCCTTTCTTATTTGCTATAGTTATGGATGTCATGAAGTCCATTCAAGAAAAAATACTGTGTTGCATGATGTTTGCCGACGATATTGTGTTGATTGATAAGAGAATATCAGGTGTTAAAACAAAATTAGAAGCATGGTGACAAACTTTGGAGAACAAAGGTAGACCGAGTAAAAACAAAACTGAGTGTATGGAGTACAAGTTTGGTGGAGGTAGAAGCAATGATAAAATAATAATGAGATTACCTTAGATGATAAGGAGATACTGGTCAGTGATATGTTCCATTACCTAGGCTCCATAATTCAGAAATACGATGAGATAAATGGAGATGTATCCATTGAATCAACACGGGGTGGATGAAACAGAGGAGTGTGTCATGATTTCTATGTGATTGAGGTATGCCGATTAGACTAAAGGGTAAGTTTTATCAGACAACAATTAGACCTCCATTACTGTATGACATAGTTTGTTGGGAGCATGTTGCAGTTGGATGTGTGGGCATACTAAAATGACCGTTTGAGGAATGAGACAATCAAACAAAAGGTGGGAGTAACACTTATTGAAGATAAAATGCCAGAGACTTGATTGAGGCGTGTATGAAACAACACGGGGTGGATGAAATAGAGGAGTGTGTCATGATTTCTATGTGATTGAGGTATGCCAGAGACTTGATTGAAGCGTGTATGAAACAACACGATGAGATAAATGGAGATGTATCCATTGAATCAACACGGGGTGGATGAAACAAAGGAGTGTGTCATGATTTCTATGTGATTGAGGTATGCCGATTAGACTAAAGGGTAAGTTTTATCAGACAACAATTAGACCTCCATTACTGTATGACATAGTTTGTTGGGAGCATGTTGCAGTTGGATGTGTGGGCATACTAAAATGTCCGTTTGAGGAATGAGACAATCAAACAAAAGGTGGGAGTAACACTTATTGAAGATAAAATGCCAGAGACTTGATTGAGGCGGTTTGGCCATGTGCATAGAAGATCGAGTGATGCACATGTTAGACAAGTTGAGAGGTAGGGAGAAGAGACATGGAGGAGAGGGAGAGGAAGACCCAAACATACGTGGATTAAAAGAGTCAGGAGTGGTATGCTACTTCATGGTTGGATGAGAGTGATTTTGGAGAGTGCGAAGTGGGGGCAACATATTCGGGTGGAGGATTGATCTCATTTCATGTTTTCTAACTTTTTATCTTTTGTACCTTTCTTATGTTTATTTTTTTAATCCTTTTTATCATTATCTTATCTTTTTATCTTTTTATCTTTCTTCTTATCTTATATTTTTATCTTTCTTTTTATCTTATATTATCTTATTTCTTTTATCTTCTTTATATATATATATTAATCTTTTTAGCTTCGATTTCTTATGTCGATTCATGTTAGTCGACCCCAAACTCTTTTGGGACTAAGGTTTGGATGTTGTTGTATAGGCTACCTCTTCAAGCAAAGAAGAAGAGCATAAGACAATTTAGAGCATCTTTTTTTTTTCCTGTGGTGTATGTTTTAAGCTTCTTTCACTAACACTGTTCTTATTAGGATGGACTTGGTGTTAAAGCTATTTGTATTTCTGGATCTGCTGAGAAAGACCACATCAGAATTTATGGACGGGCTTTTTCAGACTCTCATGTGGATATGGATGAAAATGTGTGCCCTGCATGCCTACAAGGTGGAAAAAGCCTGTGAGTGAACTTTATGTTTCTGCATGAAGATACACAATGGAAAATAATAAAATCAACGGATCAACCACTAAGAATATAAACTCTCATCTATGTGGGTTGAAAGTACTTTGTCTCACAAAAAATCTTAGCCGATATCTGATATACCGGATGGGAAAAACTCAAAGGTCATGATCTTAGCTGAAGTTTCTTAGTTTAATTATGAATATCGACAGATCTGTTACTGATCACTTATGCCTATAATAAATATATGAGAAATATCTTAGTGATGAAGTTATTTGCTTTTACATAGTATTATTTTGCTGCCAAACACATTAAGCTTCTGCCTTAGTAGCGAGTAGTGGCTCTTCGCTATCACGAGCATTCAATTTCAACATTTATTAGCAGTTTGCTTGAAAAAATGCTTCTCTTTTTAAACTGAAGTCATTTGGGATTTGTTGTTGTCCGTATTGTTTCCAGATTCCAACCTCTTGCTTATGCAATTTTTTTCTTTTTATTTTAGTGGAGTGCTCTTAACATACTTTTCAGTCTTTGCAATGGAAATGGTTGCAAGGGATGCTACCATCTTCCTTATTCAGGTTCGCCTATAAGTGATATTCCATCTGGAGTCTGGCATTGCCCCTGCTGTCTGAAGAAAATGATTGAATTTGGTGTCCACTCAGTGACAAAAGGAGTGGATTCAATCTGTGATGTTAGAGAAGTGGATGCATCAGGTTCAGTAGAGCTGATTGATCAGCACTCCTTATATGTTTTTAATCTAAAGAAAGAATATATGGCTGACTATTAATAACTTTTAATATTTTTTTTTTGTTTCAATGTTATATTGTTTCCATTGTCCCTGATTTTTGTTGTGTCTGCCTTCATGTCAGGAACACATAGGCAGAAGCAGTACCTTGTGAAGTACATTGGTCTTGCTCATGTTCACAACAATTGGGTATCAGAAGCGCGATTGCTATTTGAAGCACCATTACTTGTTGCAAACTTTAGTGATAATAATCAGGTCAAGTTATTATGTGCACATAACTGTAACACCCCCAAATTTCACCCCAAAATAGTTAATAGAAACATCAAGTATTAAGATAATTTTCCCAAAACATTTAAGTTTAAAATAGTTTAAATTGCAGCGGAAATAAAATACTCAAAGGGTGTTACCGCCACACTCGGTTTAAGATAGTTTTCTCAAAATATTCAGAATCGTTGATTATAATTTGCCAAAAGATGTGATAATCACAACACTTTCCAAAAGAAGGGTTTAACCCAAGCTACCACTTCCAAAACTAGCACTTACCACCCCTACCAAATCAACCCAAATAAGGTACTACCTCCGTTCTTAAATAAGTGCAACATACCAAATTTAACACTATTCAAATGGTCTACTTTGACTACATTTTATTCATTAATGTATTAATATTTTTTTTTTGAAAAAAATATTACTAAATTTGTCTCATTGTATATTTTCAAAATCTGATTTTTTTAATTTTTTTACAAATAGAGGGTTATATATATTAATGGTCAAAGTTGTGCCTCGGCAAATGTGAAATGTTGACCGTTGCACTTATTTAAGAACGGAGGAAGTATTCAAAATCCAAAATATATTTGCATAATAACACACGGGCAAAAGCTCATAACATAGTTTCATTCATACAACAATCTCCACAATTTTTCAATCCAAAATAACAATTTCTCAAAAATCACAATTTTGGCCATAACAAACTGATTTGATAAATTCACTCAAAACCATACAATAACAACACCCAAGCCTTAATCTCAAAAGATTTTGCGGTTGGCTAACTTGAATCGATCCATGATATTAGATCAAGAGACTCTGATATCATGGATGGAATAAAGCAAAATGGCTTGGGAATGGAGCCAAAGACTAACTAGTTTTTGGCTTGGGAATATGATGGAATAAAGCAAAATGGCTTACTAAACTGTTTGCGCTTCTTTGTTATGAAACAACAATCAGCCCATGCAATTTTTAATGCGATTTTCACTATGGGTCATCCGGAAACAGTCTCTCTATGCTTTAGTACTGGGGTACGACTGCGTACATCCGACCCCATTTACCCCACCGTAGGTGGGAGCCTTTGCGACACTGGGAAATGATGATGAAATTCACCCAAAACCATGCGTTCATAAATTCCCAGAAAATCATAGATCATATTATCCAACATATAATATTCGAAATACTCATAAAATTTGAGAAAGAAATTCAACTCATAGCTCAAACCCTAGTTAATACTACCTCCGTCCCTTAAAACTTTGCCAAAGTTGACCGGCACGGAGAATAATAAAGTAAAAACTGTGTGGTTGAGGTTTGTGCAGAGGAGAGAGAAATAACAGAAACCACAAAATAATTGATTAAAAGGGAAAGTGGCAAAGTTTTTTGGGACGTCCCAAAAAGAAAAGATGACAAAGTTTTAAGGGACGGAGGGAGTACATAATAATAGCAAAATAGTAATTTTGGTTGACATAGTCCTTACCTCAAGGCTATCAATGATTCTACACGTGAAACCTAGCTTGAGAGATCTCACACACGACCCTGGGAATATATAGGTTTCTGGGGTTACAACTTAGGAGAGAGAAATCGAAGAGCACGAATAAACGAGAATAATTCCGTAAAGATGCACTTACCAAAAGATCTGGTTGAATTAGCACTTTCTTGGCCTCAAAATTCGTCTTGGATGGTTTAGGAATGAAGAGCTTGAAGAAAAGTGGTCTGGGAGTCGGCTCTAGGGTTTAAAGAATGAAGGAATTTGAGAAAAGGGTTATTTATACTAAAGGATTGAATTTGGGCCGAACTGGGCCAAAATAGCCTATGCATGCCATGCGCACGAGCTGCGCACGCCGTGCATGCCGTCTAATGAGTTTCCCGAAGTCACGCACGCCGTGCGCACGAGTCAAGCATGCCGTGCGAGCCTTTAGCGAGTTTCCCAGCTCACGCACGCTGTGCGCACACTCTGCGCATGCCCTGCGCACACCCTGCGCAGCTCCGAGCCTCTACAATCATTGATTTTTGCTTCGTTTCTTCCACAACCGGGCCTCCCCTTGATCCCAAACACCAAACCAAACATAATAACTATCTAGAGACCCTCTAAACGGTATAAATCATAGTTTTAAATATTCCTCAAATTTTCAGGGTTTTACAATTACACTTTCACCCCCTAAATTGTTTGAAAACCTTACTCAGGATAGTTCTGTTTCATCATTCAGGTTATTAGATGGAACTCTGAGTGGACAGTGCCACACCGTTTGCTGAAGAAAAGGTTATTATCTTTCTCTGAGCTTCAAGGTGATTGTCAAAATCTTGATACTAGGGGTAATTCAGAATGCCAATATGAATGGCTCATAAAGTGGCGAGGTCTTGATTATGAGAATGCGACATGGGAGTTGGAGTATGCTGATTGTCTGTGCTCACCTCATGGGAAAAGACTCATTAGGGAGTACGAGATGCGCCAGGAAAAAGCAAAACAAGTCACCGGAAAGGTGCGGGTACTGTCATTATATTAACAAAACCATATCATCCTTGCTCTTTTTTCACACTAATTAGATCTGCATGTCAATTAGTAATCTTTCATTCTTTTTAACACCTTTGGAACAGCTCTATCTGCGTTCAAAAGTAAGCATTTTGTTTGAAATGGCAGATCCAGGCTAATGAAATTAGTGCATATTCTTTCTCACTTTGGATACCTGTTAGAACAATGCATTGTTCTATTAAGTTGAATGCTGAAAACCAATTTTTCCAGTGGCTTTGTGAGTTGATGTCAACTACTACATTGTGTGTAGTCATTGGATGCAGATGTGTGAAATGTGTCACAACCTGCATAACTTAAATCCTAGTCACACATTTCTTTGTAATGAACCTCTCATGCTAACCATGTGTTAGTGTGTTGCTATAGGCATTAGAATGGAGAATTGTATATAGAGAGGGGCAAGAGACTAATTTTTCTGTTGTCTTGGGAGAACCATAGTCACAGAAATCGCTGGACAAGCCACGATTCCCGTTCCGGATTGTCCGTACCGGAACACGGTACGATAGCGTACAGTACGCGTCTGATTCGCGACTGTGGAACGCGAGTGCGAATAGGTAGTTCGCGTATTGCGCGATGTTGGTTCGCAGACTCCATCTTCCGATACTCGTTCCGGCATGCCAAATGACGCAGGAGACCTGAAGTTCCAAATGACGCAGGCCACTCAAAGTTTCCAGCAATTTCTTCCAAACGAAGGTCGGCGACCTTGGAGGATGAAACGACGCACTTGTTCAGTTGTATTTCCAAAGTCGTACACTCCAAACGACTTTCACACCCCTGATTTTTTCTATTTAAATGGCCAGCACCTTTTCCTATTTCTATCATCCCATTTTCCTCACTTCAGCGTTTAAGAAGTACTGTTTTTTCCTCCCAGTCTTCGTCCAGTACTCCAGCTGAAATCCTGAAACTTTGTTTACTGTTTTATAGTTTCTATTGTTGTTGCAAACTTTATCAAGTTTGTTTGATGTTATTGAAGTTAATTGAAGTTATTAATATATTATTAATTATATTTATACTTATTAAAATTTTCCATCATTTGCGATGGAGCCAAAGATTTACTATTTTTTGGCTTGAGAATATGATGGAATAAAGCAAAATGGCTCACTAAACTGTTTGCGCTTCTTTGTTATGAAGCAGCAGTCAGTCCATGCAATTTTGGACGCGATTTTCACTATGGGTCATCCGGAAACAGTCTCTCTGTGCTTTAGGATAGGGGTAAGACTGCGTACATCCGACCCCCCTTACCCCACCGTAGGTGGGAGCCTTTGCGGCACTGGGGTAAATGATGATGATCATGATTATGGTTCCCCGTACCGCGTACCCTTTATGGTTCAACAAAGGGTACAACGTACCGCGTACCGAAATCGCATGCCGAAGAAGCCTACCCCCCTACGTATCGGATTTCTAATATACACGATCCGCGTTCCCGTTTTTGTACCGCTTACCGAAGCGTACCGCAATCCGTGTGACTATGGGGAGAACTATTATTCACATTATAGCGTGATTGTTTGCAATACCAAGTCAAATATCTTGATATCTATTTAATGTTGCTAGTAATTCTTTTGATCTTATCATACTTGCAGAATAGTAAGCAATCTCTCGTGAAGTTTACAGAGTTTTCGGATGGAAATTCACTTATAAGTGATATGAATATACTAAATTCTGTGAACAAACTTCATGATCATTGGTGTAAATCACAGAATGTTGCTTTTTATGATGATCAGGTTGGTTGAATAATATGGCATTATTATGTTTTTGTAAGTAATTATATGAATTTCATGAATAAGTAATACGTAGTACTATTTATGTTTTTTGTAAGTAATTCACACATTGCCATGATACCCAGTATGGTGCTATTGCCGTGGACCCTGATTAACTGAAAATCTGCTATCTCATATCATTTGCAGGAACAAATAATGAAGATAGTTTTGTTTATTTTATCTATGTCTACGGTCTGCTGCTGCCCTGTCCTTATTGTCACAGCTTCCCATGCTATTTCTCAGTGGGAAACTGAACTCAAGAAGTGGGCCCCATCTGTAGATTGTGTAGTCTACCAAGGTAACCGAGACACCAGAATGATTATTGAGGCATTGGAGTTTTATAGCGAAGGGGGAAGCATGATGCTTCAAGTTCTTTTGACCTCGCTTGAAACTGCTGTTGAGGTACAACTTGCTTTCTTGGTTGCAAAATACGTAGTACTTAGTGAGTTATGATGACCTAGGTAATTCAGGTGTGCATCGCATCAGTAATTTTTTAGGTCAGCAACGCTGGGCCATTTTCTTGACATGCATTTATATTCTTATGCAGGATATACAAACAATAAACAGATTGAGTTGGGAGGTGGTTGTAATTGATCAGTGTCAACAGTCAAATGTATTTGCCCATGTAGAGAAAATTGAGACACTTGGTGGGCTAAAGGTTCTTCTCTTCAATGGTCCAATAAAGGTATCTTATATATATACTACCACCTATACTATTTAAAGTTCATATATTTTTTTTCAGGACGTTCCTAAATAAAGTCCTCTTTTCTTATTTGGTTAAGAAATACTTATCAGTTTATTCTACTACCCTTGAGTAATAATAACTAAACAATGTCAAACAGTGTACTACATTAATATTTACCCTCAGTAAAAAGGGCATTTTAGGAAGTCAAAGTACAAATGTAATTTCCTTAAACTTCGTGAAAGCTAAACTAGGAATTTCTCTAAGGGCCAGAGGTAGTAAAAATATTTTCTCTTTTTCATTTTTCTTGCTCTTTCCAATTTGTACCATTGCGTATATTGCAGCATACTGCATCAGAGTACTTGAACATACTGTCACTTGTTGATTCTGATGGTGATCTGGATAAAGTTGACCTCTTGGAAACCTGCTCAAATGATACTCTTGGGGAACTGAACGAAAAGGTGGTGTCTTCTGAGTTTGTTGAGTATTGGCTTCCTGCTCAAATTTCTGAATTACAGCTTGAACTTTACTGTGATACATTACTCTCGAACATTGATGCTCTATGTTCTTACCCAAAAAGTGATCCAGTTGGAGCTCTTAACGATATGCTTCTTAATGTTCGAAAGGTTCGATCTGACTTTTTTTCTGTCTCAATATGAATGCATCTCTAACATTATGGTATAACATATTCTGGTTGAGGTTGTTAGAAAATGTGTGCAAATCCCCACTTCCCACTTTCATTGGTATTACTCTAGTAGCAATTTAGTATATTTTTTCGTTTTTCTGTTTGTTTCTTTTCCCAATATTTTAACCAGCAAAAGCCTGTGACTATATTCCTTCCATATTGTTTTTACAATTGAAACAATGGATTAGTAACACACAACTGAATTGCAATAAAGGGTGCCCTATATGTATAAGCACCTTTGAGGAGACAACACAAGGCAAAATGTTTCCTAGTACGGCTGCCATTGCATTGTCAAAGGGCTGCATTGACCACAATTTGATTGATCTAGGACTATTCTATGGCGGACTGAAGTGCCTTGGAATACAATACACACAGTTTACTTGAACCATAAACCAAACAAGTAGTTAGTGTTTCGATTCATGGATGAAAGTGAACAAATTGAGAATTTTAAAAAATTCAAAATAACCTTGACTAATTCATTTTAGTTGTTTCCATTTTGGAGCTGGACGGCTTCTCATGGGGCTGCTATAAAACAAAACAAGTCCTGTAGGCAATCTAATGCTTGTAAGTAAACTCCCACCCACACTCCACCCGTGCCTTACGGCACAAAAATTTGGAAATGACTTGAAATCTGGAATTATGCATATTGTCTGTGTGATTTGCTTGTTTGGTTGCAACTGCAAGGTACCGCTAATTTATGATAAATTTTCTTTTTCAGTGTTGTGATCATCCTTATATCATTTTCGACCCATCCATGAGCCCCTTCAACAAAGAGCTTTCTCAGACTGAGATCTTGAATATTGGAATACAAGCAAGTGGGAAACTGCAACTTCTTGACAAGATGCTATATGAGATGAAATGCCGGCAACTAAGAACCATTGTCCTTTTTCAGGTATTCATTTAGATTGTTTTGCTTTTAAACGAATTTATACATCTAGGTAATTCCAAAATTCTCATATGAGAGGTACTTCTATGGATCCAAAGAAACAAGGTTCCCCTCCGTTTTGGGTGCACTTCTCTTGCAGGAAGCAATAACAACACCCTTTAGTTGTGCACCTGTTCATAAGTTGTAAGCAAATACCAAATAGATGTCTAGTGTTCTAAAAGGTGGTGTATGCGGCTATGAAAAAGTTCAGATAGTAAAGTATGTTCAAAGTTCACTTTAGGTAGACATTTAAAAAAATCCACACAAATCTTTTTACGACGAAGCTGCTGATAACATAAGTGTCAAAAGTTAGGAATATGTAGTTTCAAATGTATTATACCAGATACTGTATATGGACGTGAGTGCATGGATTATCATTCGTGTTGGAGTTTCTGAATATGTGATTTCATAAATTTTAGTGCCCGTTTGGATTGGTTTAAAGGGTTTAAAGCTGCTCCAGTGATAAGAATCATCTTTAAATGTACCCTATCATTATACAAATAATCTATAAATGTAAAATTTTCTTTAAACAACAAAGGCTTGCATTACAAAGTAGTACGGAGTGTAAATTTTGTGACCTGAAACTTGATATAGTCTCATTTTCCTTACCTTACTTATCTTTCACACTGAAACAAATGTTTTGGACATGCCTAAGCTCAACGGTCAGACTTACTGACGTAGTGATTGTGATCAATGGTCAATGTTTGAAATTGCGCCATAGAGTCGTGCCTCACCTTGTCGATTCCCAGACCTGTTGCGATTAAAGGCGAAACTATTTTACGTCATAAGAAAGCTTACACCTTTTAGGGCCGAGGCGTACGATTTAAGCTGTGCGATAAAAACCGCAAGAAGGCTTACACAATAGAAGTCTCCAGATTACATGAATAAGATGTGCCCGGACTTATTCCAAATCCAATAATTAATTTAATGCTCGACCAACATACTCATCTCTTCTGATTAGCATGTGATGTGGCGGTACACCTCTCCCTCTCTGCTGAGTATTAATTTTTACACCAGCTCTTTTGTAAGCTTTCCGTCTGTCCGCATATCCTTCTCGTTGCTCTGCGTTGTTCTTATTTGCGTCTCTTGTCCTTCGGCTTGCGTCAACATGCTTATGTAAGGAGACAACGTTATATAAAAAATACATTACTTTGAGTGGGTTCCAAAGTATCCTTCTGGACTTTTATATGCCGCAGGAAATATAGTTTTGGTGTTTCTTAAGAGGACTATATACTACTTACGAAATATATATGGAGTATTACTTTGAGTGGATTCCAGCAATATTTCATGTTTAATATTTGTTTAGGGATCGGCTCTAAGTCCTTTCTTATTTGCTATAGTCATGGATGGACTTACGAAGTCAATTCAAAAAGATATACCGTGATGCATGATGTTTGTCGATGATATTGTATTGATTGATGAGGCGCAATCGGGTGTTAGAGCAAAGTGGGAAGTATGGCGACAAACATTGGAGACCAAGGTTTTCAGACTGAGCCGAAGCAACACTGAGTATATGGATTGCAAGTTTGGTGGAGGTAGAAATAGTAGCAACATTGAGATTACTCTTGATGGTAAGGAGATACCAGAAGGATGGTGAATTAGATGAAGATGTATCCCATAGAATCAGTGCTGGGTGGATGAAATGGAAGAGTGCATCAGGGTTTCTATGCGATCGATGTATGCTGACTAGATTGAAAGGTAAATTCTATCGAACAACAATTAAGCCTGCATTAGTGTATGGCGTAGAGTGTTGGGCAGTGAAACAATGTCACATTCAAAAGATGAGTGTGGCAGCGATGCGTATGTTGCGTTGGATGTGTGGACATACCAGAAAAGACTGCTTCAGGAATGAGATAATCAGACAAAATGTGGGAGTAACACATATAGAAGATAAGATGCAGGAGTCTCGTTTGCGGTGGTTTGGGCATATGCGTAGAAGACCGAGTGATGCACCTGTTAGATGACTTGGGGGGTGGGGAGAAGAGACAGAAAAGAGAGGGAGGGGAAGACCCAAATAGACTTGGCTTAGAGGAATCAGAACTGATATGCGTCTTCTTGGGTTGGATGGGAGTATGGCTTTAGAGAGAGCAAAATGGAGGACGCACCTTCGTGTGGACGATTGATTTTTTTCTATCTTTCGTCTCTCGTTCTCTTTTATCGTTTATCTTCTTTATCTTTTTATGTTCTTATGTTATCTTTATCTTTTTCTCTTTTATCTCTTATCTTTTCTATATTCTTATGGTATTATTATCTTATACTCCGTTCCATTTAAAGGTTCCCGTCCACTATTCTCCGGTCAACGTGCATTGTTCTTAATCTTTTACTTTATATACCAAACTTTTATCAAATTTAAATTTTCTTGATCAGGCTTTGTAGTGGTTTTAATGTAGTTTCTGAATATGTAAATTTTATTTACTAAAAATAATTCTACTAATGACAAAGATCAGTTAACTTTAAGGTCAGTCAAACGTCGTAAACCGTGTGGGAACGTTTAAATGGGACGGAGGGAGTATTTATTTATCTTTATCTTATCCGTTTTATCTTTTTTTTTGTGTTCTCTTTTTGGCATGGATATCATAGACCGATTCATGTTAACCGACCCCAAATTCTTTTGGGATCAAGGTTTGGATGTTGTTGTTGTTGTTGTAATGTTTGTTTAGGGCCTTAGTCTCGAATTTACTTCTTCTCAAGAATTTTACTATGTTTTCTCTGTTTTAGGCAATGTTTTAAATTACTCCCTCCATCCCATTTTACGTATCTTACTTTCCCTTTTAGGTTGTCCCAAAATAAGTGTCACATTTCCTTTTTTGGAAAGAAATATGTGGTCCACAACATTTCACTTTATTATACTCAAATATCAACCACAACTTTTACCTTTTCAACCACTTTAATAATTGGTCCAAAGTCAAATGAGACACATAAAATGGGAGTATTTAAATTCAAAATTTTCCTGTTTTCTTAGCGAAGTTTTACTTTTCATAAATTTTTTTTTTTTTTTCACGCATAATCGTATATATATTTTACTTTGGATTATATTAATATATCAAATTATGTTTAAATATTACCATTTTTTATCGTAATGTTTAAATATTACCATTAACAACTATCTTTTGTATTCAACTATTCATTAATCAGAAAACTTAGAATTTTAGGAAAAACAATTTCTATGTCATTTTTAATTCAGGATTTCCATTATTTTATGACATTATTGTTAGTTTGGTAATTGAATATGTTATTTTGAATGAACTTTTAATTCTTATTAGTTATAAATTTGTATATACAATTTTGTCCTACGCATTGAGATTACTCCTTAACCTTATGCCTCGATTCACAATGAGGTTTACACAATTCACCTTGGAAAAAAATGCCTCAACTCCGCAATGTGCAATTTCAAACATTGTCGATGGTTTGGCAATTTCTGTCGGCAAAACCTGCGTCTTTATAAAAAATGAAGTCTACAGACCAGCAGGGAGAAACTAAAGTTAAGATGTGTGAACTTTCTATGACTATATCTTTTTTTTTTCATTTGGACAACATCAGTTCCCCAATATCTTTTGGGACTAAGGCTTGGATGTTGTTGTTGTTGTTGTTGGACAACATCAGTTACGTACACTTTCATCTACGTAGGTCAACCTTCTGCCATTCTTATTCACGCCATTGTTCCTTTCTTCATGTCTTGCTTTTCGCCCCTCTTTGATCTTCTATACTACTCTCATCTATTTGTATGTGATTTTTTCTTCTTTTGGATGAGAAAGAGACATCCAAGTTATCAAGAGTCCCTGATCTCCATTTTTTTAGATTTCTTATAACTTTACCTACCAGCGTCCAGACTACGTTTTACACTTTACTTTACATATGCCCACTTGTTGTGAGGACTGAGGAGTCAATCCACACATTATAGCTGTAAACTCAAATGCAAATAGGGCTATGTTGGTCTACGAGTTTATATTATACTACCTCCGTCCCGAAAAGGTTTGCCAAATTGACTGTTCTTGATCAATGATGGCAAACTTTGAGCAATGATTTTAGTTATTATATTTTGTATATAATTTATAAATTTTATGCTTTTATGAAAATACTTTCAATAAGGAATATTTTGATATAATTTTCCTATTGTAAATAATTTCGTATTAAAATATGTCATTGGTCAAAGTTGATTGTCATTGACCAAGAAAAGTCAATTTGGCAAACCTTTTCGGGACGGAGGGAGTATTTGTAAATTAACACGGTGATTTTGCAATAAAAGTTGTATTTGTTTCTTTAAGTTTTATAATTAAAGATATTTATTTAAGAGAAGTTGCAATTGTTTATTTAGATTTAATAATTAAAGATAATCAATTAATCATAATTAAAGAATAGTTTTACTTCTATTTCTTCAGTTTTAAGGATGCTCTAAATTGTAATAGACATGTCTTGAAAATGAGTTACAAACGATTTCCATATAATGATCAATCATAAAAGTTTTTGCTGGACTGCATTCTTTTTATGTAATATCCTTATCCTCAAGCATACTAGAATAGTAAAATGGATGGGCAAGGGCATGCTCGAATAATTATGACACATTGCACAACTTTCTTTTAAATGATGTTGAGATAGAAAAAGGGAATAAGAGAAATGTTGTTCAGTAAACTGGAGCGAGAGAGGGCAATTTTAGGGATCAATCTAGATTTCTTGTTTAAGTTCACTATGGACCCGTCTTGGGGCAATTTTTCTATCTGTAGGTTTACCTACACCCTTAATCTGAATGTAAGTTTTGTAACTCTGATAACCTCTGCTTAGGTACTCATCTCATGTGGAAAGGAGATGGAGTTAAAATGGGGATGATATCATCATCATCATATTGGTTGGTGTGTGTATTTTGACCAGAATAACTTCCAGAATGGCAAGACTTGAATCTGATTAAAAAGCAGTTGAACAGTCTGAAAATCCATAAGTACAAAAAAGTCCTTATGGGTATTTGTGTGACCATGGTTGAAGTCATAGTTTATTTCAGTCATTGCAGCCATTTTGTCAGTAAAATCAAACTTGGTGTTTTCATTACCTATGGGTGGAACTCTAGCATGGGGTTTTCTTATTTTTTATTGATAAATCACACTTCATAAAAGTTTTCAATATTTCAATTACTACCGACGCCAGGCATATTTACTATTTGGAATACGTGTGCTGCTGAACTAGTTGTTTTGAATAAATTCTAGCCAACTTAAACCTTTCACTCTGCTTCTAAACCAATGTCCGTGATAATAATTTAGTTTCTACTTTCTACTGGATTTTAAACCTGCGTGATTGCACTAGGCATGTTAGAGTTGTGTTCAATCATTTCAATGAATTTGTATTATGAACATTTTAAACTTACTCAACTTACTGTTTACTCTTTTGTATCGTTTTGTTTATTAAATCCATTTGGCAGTCTTATGTTGGCACCACTCCATCAATTGGTAACATATTGGAGGATTTTTTGCGTCAAAGGTTTGGAGAAAATTCCTATGAACTTGTCGATGCATATCTCACGCGGTCCAAAAAGGATTCTGCTCTTAATAGGTTCAACTCAGTGGAAAATGGGCGATTCGTTCTACTATTAGAAAACCGTGCTTGTAAACCAAGCTTTAAACCATCTTCGGTGGATAATATCATCATATATGGTAGTGATACTAATCCTTTGAATGACATGAAGCTTCTGGAAAGAATATCGCTTTATTCCAAAGCAAAACAAATCAAAGTTTTTCGGTTATATTCGTGTTTTACTGTGGAGGAGCAAGCGCTTTCCATTACAAAGAAAGAACCGGATCCCTTCTCGCATAGTTTGAACCGGAATGTGAATGACACCCTCAGGTGGGGCGCATCAGATTTGTTCTGTAGATTGGATGAAAATTATGCTAATGAGAGCGATTTATCATCTGGGCAGTTGCTTCTTAGTGGTGTCGTAGAAGAATTCTGCACTATCATTTCTGAAAGTTCTGAAAAAGTTGGCCTACACAATTCTCTCATTTCAAAAGTTTTACATAGTTCTTCACACTTCAGTACAAATTTTCCACTATTTGGGGAGCAGAGAGTTCAGTGTACAGGTGAAGAACCTTGTGTTTTCTGGAAGAGCCTGTTGGGGGTAAGAAATCCCCAGTGGAAACATCTAAGATGGCGAGGTCCAAGGAGTAGAAAGAGAGCCCAATTTTTTGGCGCATCAACACAAACACCGCAAATGTCACATAATGAAGTAGTAAAAAAGTGTAGGAAAACAAACAGTGAGGGAAGTCAAGTTTCTACTTCAGAAGAAGGTATCATTTTCTGACTGTGCAAGGACATTATGTTCCTGGATCATTATGTATTTTTTTCTTCTTAAATGGTTCTGAATCTTCTGATGTTAGTGCAGGCCCCTCTATAGTGAGTCCTTCTAATGAGTCATCACCAGCATCTACTACTTATGAAAACAGTCCACTTACTCCAAAGCATTTTTCTAGTTCTTTATGTGGCCTGTCACCTGACAATCCTGCAGAAGTAATAATACTATCTGATACACAGAGTAGTCTTCATATCCTTCTAAAGGAAGAGATGGCAAAGGTTTTTGAAGTGCTAAAACTTCCGGTACTTCTCTTGATAACCTTTTTTTGTTGTTGTAACCAGAAGTCTGCTTATAGTTGTAGTTACTTATGCTTATCAATGATATATGCGTTCATTAACAAGGCTTTTTGTTGTTTTAAGCTCTCAACTACAAATCGATAATTATAAAGGCTAAATGATTGCACATGAAACAATGGAGCTATACCTAATTTCAGCGTTAGAGGAACTGCTCAAGTATTGAAAGTAAAAACCATTGGTGACATTCCAGTCAAACTAAACAAACATAGAATTCAGAGTCTTGCCTTTTTGGTGTATAGATAAGCCCTTAAATGACATTTGACATTTCATGGACTATTATAATAACACATTGTGATGACTCCTTTTGCACTTCTTTTTTAGTTATTTGTATTATTGTGAATTTTAAATCATAATCAGTTTATATGACTTCATATGTAGGAGGATGTCGAAAGAATGGCTGCACAGTTTCTAGAATATGTAATGGAAAATCACCGCATTAGTCGGGAACGAGTGATGTCAGTGAAAATATTCCAGGCTTTCCAAATATCTATGGTAATCTATATGCCTGGGCTCTTTCATCTTACGAGTGTGGTTACTCAACTAAGTTTTAAATACTTCCTTTTTTAGTTCTGAATTTAGCCGTAAGCTACAAGTGCGAAACATAAAGAAGCATTTTTAGTGGTTGACCTTTTGATATATTTCTGAACAAAATATTCTTTTTTTGCAAATATTTGTGCTGTTGGGCAGTTATATTTCTTAATTGATATGTGTTGTGTGTTTTCTCAGTGCTGGATGGCAGCTTCTTTGTTAAAGCAAAAGGTGGACAAGGATGAGATGCTTGCGCTAACCAAAGAACATCTGAAATTTAAATGTACTAAAGATGAAGCACTTGCCGTTTACCTGAAGTTTCGTGCACTCAAGAAATTATTTTTGCATAACATGAAGAGAAATGAGCAGACTTGGATTTTATTTAAGGATTATGAAACAAATAAGAAAGGTGAAACTTGCAGAACTCTGGCTCAACCACTTCCGGAAGAACATATCACTGATGAGGTCTTGTTAGCTGAACGTGAGAAGGACTTCTTGGTAAGCTCTGATAATCCAACAGAAGTACCTGAAGATGCCATTGATGTAGATGTGGGACTTGAACATGATGCAGAAGCAAATACTACAAATGTACACGGTTTGACGAATATTGAAGGTAACCAGAAAGATGTTGCTAGTAACTATGTTGATGAAAACCATGCATCAGACAAAGTTAATCCTCCAAATAATGGTGGTTTGCTACCTCCAAATCAAGTATGTGGTCTTGTCTTTTTTGTGTGGTAAATATGTTATTGCATTGTTATCTGAAGCATCCAGCTTCTTGAAGCAGTTTATTAGGCCTCATAGACAATGCTCATAGTTACCGTGTGCCCTGTGAATGTGTCAGAATTACAGAAACCCTATGACTCTTGATTCTTTGGAAAAGAAGGAAGTCCTATGATATGCATATCATTATCATTATCATCTCCTTAATTCCAAATAATTGATGTTAGTATGGAATGGAATGTACTGTGTCAACTATTGATTAGATTAATCCAAGAAAGCATAGAGACGAAGTTTGCTTAAATGATCTGTTGAACTCAAATGACCCGTTTATCTATGTGACATGAAATTCTGATTTCCATCATGTTACTATCCAACTCTTACCTTTTATGTAGGCATTCACATATTAGTCTAGGAAGCAGGATTTTGATTGATAATTGATGACTAACCATTATGTAGCGCCTTTTATGATCACAAGCCTTTTATGTGCCTTTAATGTAGACAACTCAAATGATCTTTGATTGGTAACTAACCATTATATAGTATTTAATGAATCAGTCTGATAGGGCACTTCTATCAGAGAACCGGAGTACATTAGATAGTGAAGCTGGAATTACCGGGCCTACTAGTTTTACTCAACACGAAATGCCTTCTTCTAAAGCCACATTGGCAAAAAATTGTGAACATCCACCAGCTCCTAATGATAGTAGTCTCCCTTCACATGATGAAGCTGCATATTTGGCTTGCGATCGAGAGGATAATGCTTTACATCCCTCCAGGCCACCTTCTCCACTGTTGGTTGAGACTGGGACAGGAACACAACCTTCTATAGATTCTGATTCTCGAGGTGTGTGATGTTTGAAACTGCGCTTGTCAGTTATCGGTGTTTGACATTTCTTATGAGTTATGACTTATGTGCTTTAAAATCATAATAAACTCATTCTTATTTAGTGACATTGTTAGTGCTGGATGAAATAAAGAGTCACCTCAGACTTTTGCACAAAATGACTTGTAGGTTACAGAAAGTTTATGTGTCTGTGCATGTGTCTTTATACACATTGCTGTGTGCGTGTGTGTAATTAGCAGTCTGGATCACTTTTACAGAGGCAGGTCAACGCCTGCTCCAAATCTGAATATATGTCAGTGGTATTTGAACACTAATAAAATTTATGTGATTGCGTGTGTGGATGATATTTAGAAAATTAGCCTTCAAGGGTCAAAATCACTTTTTCAGAGGCAGGTCCATGCCTGCTCCAAATCTGAATATGTGTCCTTAGGAGTATTTGAACGCCAATAAAATTTATTACGTTTCTAAATGATCCACAATCCACATAGGACTATAGGAGTAGAATCAAGTTTGAAATCCAATACAAACGCCACCGTAGTAAAGTTTGTTACTTGCCAAGTATGTTATTTACAATTGTTTTCTCAAAATACTAAGATGGAACCTAGTAATATGGTCTCTATAATAAAATAGGGAGGGGGACACAATATGGTTGTCTTAACCCTTTTGATGTCATGTTGGAACTCACCTTTTTCCTTTAAATGCAGATCCTCTTCATAATGAATTTGATAGGATACGCCGAGAAATGGAGAATGCTGCCAAGAGTCAAGAAGATTTGGTAATCATCTGGTTCCCTGCATGATTATATTCTATTTCTTGCTTTTATCTTTAATTATTGGTGGATTTATGTCTTTTTCTGTTGTGCCACCTTTGAACAGAGATCACAGATTAAATCTGATTGTGATACGGAAATTAAGGAAACCATTACAGAAATTCGTAACAAATACAATTCCAGACTTCATGAGTCAGAGATGAAATATTCACTCATAAAGAATGAACTTGGTGGGAATCTAAAAAAAGTTCTTTTGAACAAGCTATTGGCTGATACTTTTCGATCAAAATGCTTGGATCTCAAGCCTTCAAGGATTCCGGGTATGCAAGGTGTGTACGTTTGTGGCAAATTCAACTTTACCCCCAAATATGCTGTGTCCAACTATTTTTGGTGACACTTCTCCCTGGACTTTTAGTGAGTGAATGCAGTTTCTGTTCCCAAAAGACCAAAACAACCTTTATAAAGTGGATATGCACAAATTTGTAGACATGCTTTTAAATTGCACATAACTAGCCCACAAAGAGGCTCAAGAAGTGAGGTTTACCTTGCACTTGTACTAGACTCAACACCCGGTTTGGATACCCTTCAGCAATTCAGCCCAGTCTAAACTGGTCTGGGTACCTGAAGGGTTGGAAAGATGGGCCCACACCGATATTCAAATAATCTATCCCAAACCATTGAGTGGGCGGGGGTGCCCAACAAATCACTATTACACCAGATTCCAATACCATGTTAAGTTGGGCCGGGGTGCTCAACAAATCACCATTACACCAGGTTCCAATACCATGTTAAGTTGAGTCTAACGGGCCAAAGAGTTGAGATTTACCTCACACTTTTATATCTTTAATTCAAAGTCGATAAACAATCAATGCATGATAATCAACAAATACATCAAGTAGATATGGATTAGGATTCGTCTCAACTCTTGAGTAACACACACCTAAATATATAATAAATATGGTATAACTTAGCCTATTGATTTATTTGATGAAATAATGTAGACACAGTCCTCTCCTTTCCCCTGGCCTCATGTATGCCTTTCATTATACTTCCACACCTCAACACATCTAGATAACAGCTTGTTCTTTTTTGTTTGTTTGTGTCTCAATGCAGCCATACCTACCAGTTTTATGCAGCATTTACATCAAGTATCAATGCAAATTCAACCAACGTTGCTGTCCGCCTCCCTCACTGGGTGGCAAAAGGAAGCACCATTAATTGCTTCACCTTACACGGGAGAACAAAATTTGGCTGCACCAATTACGAGACTGCCATCCCCATCTTTGCCTTCCGCTGGACAACTGGCTACAAGTCAGCTAGCCCTGTCAAGGCCTTCTGTAGTTGGTGAATCCGCAAGAAGGCCACCACCAACATCAGTTTCTTTGACTCCAGCTATCCAGCAAAGTCCATCCATGGCTCGGTCAAGATCACCTTCGATTCCTTCTTCTCCTGGAGAGCAAACTTCAGCCCCAGCAATTTCGGAATTGCCGTCCCTTTCTCTGTCTTCGAGAAGACAAGATTTGGCTACTGCCCAGGAGACTTCTGGCTCTCCAATGCCTTCTGCAGTTGGTGGATCTCCAAGAAGACCACCATCACAACCACCATCATATATTTCTTTTCTTCCAGCTAGTCAGCAAAACCAGTCAACGGTACAAATAAGGTCACCATCAGTCGCTTCTTCTGCTGCTGGAGAGCAAACTTCTTCCCCAGCACTTATGAATCTGCAATCTCTTCCTTTATCTTCCGGTAGACACTACTTAGCTACTGCCCCGTCAAAGTCCTCTGCAGTTGGCGAATTTCCTAGAAAACCATCACCATCAATTGCTTCATCAATGCCTTTTCCCGTGGTTGGTGAATCACCAAGAAAAGCACCACCACCACCGTTTTCTTTGTCTCAATCTAGCAGCCAGCAATTGCCATCAACAATTTGGTCAAGATCACCACCATCAACTTCTCTGGCTTCCCAGCAGACGATTCCTGTTTCATTGAGATCTTCTTTGGTTAGTAAATCCCCATGGATTTCCCACAGGGCACCAGTCATCGGTTCCATTACCCCTTCGTCAGGTAATCTACGAACAGGAGGAGATATTCGTGCCCCGGCACCCCACCTTCAATCCTTCAGGCCTTCATTAAGACCCTCAGTGGCTGCTGCCAACTTTCCTCCTTCAAACCCTTCCTCACTCGATCATTCTCCACTTCAACCTTCAGCAAAGCCTTCTCTAAAATCACAACCCAATAACAGAACATCATCACTACCCTGTGCTAATAATGTTCCTGCAATGGAGTTGCTTAGGAATCTTGATGATTTTCTTGGAAAGCTTTCTGTAACACAGAAAAATCAGATTGGTAAACAAGTTTCTTCGAGTGCTTCTAACTTGTCTTCATCTTCATTCTCACTCAAACATGGTCCAAGCCGGCCATCAGTCTTTGAGTTTTCTAATATGTCACGAGACAAGGAGGAAGATCAGCCACAGCCGTCGGCTGCAACAAATAACTTCAAGTGTGTTTCGAACCAGATTGCTCCTAATGATTTTCCCTTTTCTGCCCTTGAGTTGCTCAGGAATGTTGACAGCCAAGCTTGTCCATCAAACCAGACAACAAAAAGTGGTTTGCCTTCCTTATCAGAAACTAACCTTATTGGAACAGTAGGTAGTAGTAGTGCACAAGGAAGTTCTACCTCTGCTGCACCTCTATCAACTGATGTTGGCTGTCTGTCTAATAATAATGAAGATTGAGAACTGGGTATTCTTTTTCCTGAAGTTGTTTTACCTATTAGTCCCCAGGCTTATTTTTGTCCTACTTGTATGTTGTAACCACTACCAATTATAAGCTCATATCTGTATTTCTTCTCAACTGTTTTGTATCTATAACTTCATAGTATAATAGCAATAACCTTGTAATAGTTATATGTTGAGAAGAAGCCCTTGGGATGAATGAAATGGAAGATCGTAACTGTGTTTTTTTTGCTCGATGATGTCTTGCAATGCCCCCTCCCCTCCCCAATAAAGATGGCATGCAATCCATGCATTGCCATTACCTCTACAAGATGAGACTTTCTTGTATGGGTCTTCAGAATAAAATAAAAAACGTGCAGATGGAACTGTTGAATGAATAAAAGCTCAGATTGTTTGATACAGGAACACAGACAAGGTCGAGGGATTAACTCCAATGAAATGTTCCCATGGTGGTTGATCTCATTGCCGTTTAAGTTCTCCCACTTGTAGGGCCAGTACGTTCACAACCCATTCAATCATAATATCACCACGAGTAAGAACAAAGAATACTTTTAAGCTCCCAGAAGGCTTCCATTTGAACTCTCCAGAATGTGTGCTTAGGAAATCCTTGTATAGGTTCACACAGGTCTACAATGTTGGTTTGTTAGTAGGGATGGATTCGGGCCGGGTCGGGCCCGGGCCGGGCCTAGGCCCGGTCGGGCCGCCGGTTCAAGAACAGTGGGCCCGGGACCGGCCCGAGGGTTGGACGGGTCCGGTTCGGGCCGGGCCACCCGCCCGGGTCACGGGTCGGGTCCGGTTCGGGCCGGGTCGGTTAATTTTTTTTTTTATAATTTATATTTTATATTTTATAGTTTATAGTTTTATAAGAGTATTAAAAACAAACTTCAATTGCATTTATTTGAAATGAAATAGGAACTACATTTGAAAATTAAAACAAACTTTAAGAGAAACATTTTGAAAATTGTAATCAATCGGAACTTCCCGCACCTCCCGATCCTTTGGCTTTGTGACCTTTGTCACATGACTTCATATGCTTGATTGCATTCCCGAATCCGCCTGAAGCCCCCATAATACATTTTTTTTCGCACCATTTGCAAATTGCGTACCACATCCCGGTCTTCGGGTCCTTCTGCTTATCAAAATTATACCGTATAATGGCATTTTGATTTTCTATCTTAACTTTTTGGAGAAGAGAATTAGAGAGTAGATATATAATATATTGGAGAATAAGAGAATTAGAGAGTAGAGAGTTAAGAATGAATTTAGGAAGAATTGGAGAAGAGATATGAAAAAATGTTTAAAAGTAGGAGTATTTATAGGTTTTTTTACCCCCCACCCCCCCACCCCCCCCGGACCCCCCCTTTACCCCACCCAACGGCTATATAGCCGTTTGGGTTGTCCCCAGCCCCACCCCCAAGGCCTCAACGGCTAGTAGCCAAAAATCAAATTTTTTTTTTTTTAAAAAATAGACCCGGACCCGGACCCGGGCCCGACCCGGCCGGGCCGGGTCACAAAAATGCTGAACCGAGCCCGCCCCGCCCCTTCCCCCCGGTTCGGGCCCATACCCGGTCCCGGACCGCCCGACCGGGCCGGTCCCGGGCCCGCACAGTACCGGGCCGGGCCGGGTCACGGGCCGGGTGGCCCGAACCGAATCCATCCCTATTTGTTAGCCTATGTAAGGCTTTGGGTATGACATTCTTCAACCTCGTTCTGGCAACTTAACTCACTATTTACTTGGCATTATGATTCTATTTGACTTGATGCGCATATGTATGGTGATGAGTTGGTTACTGCATGAAATGGCTCAGAAACTATCTTCTAGACTTCTACTTTAAGCATAAGATGATTTTTTACAAGACGGATTTGGGAAAGATGAACAGTTTTAGGATCAATACGTAGCACAAACAGTCTCAAGTCTCAACATCACCAGCATGATGTTTGTTGCCTTAGATCAATACGTAGCACCCTTTGGTTGGCAACTTGTCCATCTTTGTGTGCCTTGGAATAGATGTCATCATATCACCTATACTCTGGTGCAAATTCCGAAGGAACCCAAGCTTGTGTAGTTCACTAACAGGCTGCACGGGTCATGGTTTCACGCCATCCAATGTTCAGCGATGTTGTGTGGGAAATAGAAACGCTTCATGCCATCCCACGATTTCACATAAGGAATATTCAAAGCCTATTGCATTTGATCAAGCAAACTATTCATCAATCCAGGAAAAAGCTCTTCATCACCTACATTCGTTTGAATATAGCAAAAGAAGAATTTCGTCGTGACAACAACATCGAAGATATTTTCATCAAGCACCCTGATGGAGTATATGGCCCAGGGACCTCCGGCCAACAGACTCTCACTTCTCCTACGCAGGCCCATCAAGTCCGGTGAGCACACAAAGCCCAAACGTAGCGGCCCAAACATGAGGAAGCCCACAGTGCACATGTGGATGCCTTCGACCCTATGGCTGAGGACTCCAAATTCTAGAAGACAACTTGAGATTGACTGACTATATTGCTTATAATTAGTGAGTTAATTTCATGAGATTATCTAAGGTAATTAAATGTATTTTTATGGATTATTAATGATTAATAATGCCTAAGAATGAGAAGACTATGTCTATAAGGAAAAGAGCATGATATACAAATTTAAGGGTAAATTGTGTATAATCATATGTTATGAGTATGATTACTTGATTATGGGATTAACTATGAAATGTATGTTCAAATATACTATTTTCTTCATATAAGGATATATGAATGATTAAAAGTGATATTTTGTATATTGATATAAAGATGATATTTTCAATGGAAAATCAGTTGAGTATTTTATAAATGACCATGAATGGAGAACTTGGCTTTGTTGGAATTAATTGGACTAGTAGTAATATACTAGTTGAGCGTTAAATTGAAATGATGCTAAAATTGATCCTAAGGTTGGATTGTGAAATGCTATGCCTTAACTAGTCTTAAGAGATACTTTAAGATAGAAATGTATGAACTTTAAGTTATGCTAGGGGTAGGCCTTAAGGGATACCCAAGGTAAAGTGAATAATAAATTGATCCTAGGTATAGGATTGGCCTACGGGCGTGTTCGGTAGTCTTTGAGGATAGCCGGTTGAATTATGGGAATAAGTAAGGACCATGGCCCTTCCCGACTCTAGAGAGCGGGTTTGGATAGCATGGACTTGCATCGTGATCACGGGTTATGGTGGAATCCGAATAGGAGACCTAACTAGGCTCCGACAGCGGTAACAATAAGACCCACGGGTTGGGTTGTACAAATGATAAATGCAAAGGAACATATAAGAAGGGCCATGTGCCGACAAATAAATGAATTTACTTATTATAGAGATAATAAGTGGGAAATATAAATTATTATTTATATTATGATATCACCCTATTTTGAGGGTCTTATAAATTAAAACGTTGATTATACTCGGTATAGTTGTCATTGTACTTGTCAAATGCTTCCAAGTACTGACCTCCCCTTCACGGGGGAGGCCACCTCACAGTTTCAGGTAGAAGTTGAAGCTTGCTACCATTGCCGTTGCTTCGGGGAGTTTCAAGAGAGAAGACGTGGTTCGTGCTTCCTCTGTTCTGTTTTCAAAATAATTATGATATGGCTCATGGATACTATTTTTGGATAATTAATTGGGGCTTGTATGCCCATGCTTGCCAAAGTGTGGCATAAACACTTGTATTAAAATGTTTCCGCTGCTTTAAATGAATGTTTTACATTATGTTTGTTTATGGATGTAGTATGTGTGAATGGTATTCAAAGACGCCTTGTATAATATGGATGAGTTGGACTGCGGTTGACTATTCGTACTGTACGGCGGATTGTTGACGTGTCCGGGTAGGTCCGGGGCGTGACATAAGCTACCCATCATTTGGTGCTCTCGTTGAGAGAGTCGAACAATCAAGTAAGAAACCCTCCCCTTCAGAAAACAAAACACTCATCAAAATGGGAAGAGCAACCCGGGCTCAATCCAAGAACCTTGAGGACAAGAACCTGGCCCTCGGTGAGGTTAACGCTCTAGAGACCTCCAACAGGGCTCCCAAAGGTGGGGCCATTGTCGAGTTGGAGCAAGCCGCTGTTGACCTACGTCTCCAACTCCAGAAGAACGCCCCCGATGCCCGCCTCGGTATCGAGACTCGGAGGAAGGTCCGGAGCAAAAACCAAGTGAGCCCTCCGGTCCTCACTATTGACGTGCAGTCGACATTTTCTGCCTTCATGCAAACGCTCAAATGGTGGACTCTCTACACAGACGGCTCCTCGACTGCCAAAGCATGCGGGGGAGGCGTCGTCTTCATCACACCCGAAGGCTTTCGAGTCTACAATGCCATCCGCTTCTCCTTCAAGGTCTCCAGCAACAAAGCTGAGTATGAGGCTCTCCTCTGTGGCCTTCGGCTGGCAGCAAACCTGAGGGCCAAACAAATACATGTGAAGTGCGACTCCAAGCTAGTTGTCAGCCAAATCTCGGGGGAATATGAGGCCAAGGAAGGGAGAATGAAGCAATACAAGGAAGCGGCCAAGGAATTGCTAAAGGTATTCGATGCACACTCCCTCACTCAAATACCAAGGGCTCAGAACTCCGAGGCAGACATTCTATCAAAGCTCTTGGCCGAATCTCCGGAGCACCTCTCAAAGATCGAAAGAATTGAGGAACTCAGCCTCTCAAGCATACATGCAAGCCCTGTCATGGAGATACACCTAAGGCCGGAGTATTGGATTTCGGATATCATCAACTTCATCACCACAGGGCAATTTCCCGAGGACGAAGCCCGTGAGAAACTAGCAAAGCTGAGGGCTCCCAGCTATACCCTCGAAAACAGAAGGCTTTACAAACGATCCTACAACGACACATTACTCCGGTGTCTTCATCAGGATGAAGCCGAAGTTGCAATGGAGGAAGTGCACACTGGCACTTGCTCAGCTCACCGGGGACCCTTCTCTATGTCCCGAAGGCTTATAGTCCAAGGCTACTTCTGGCCTACGATGACCCGAGATTGTGCAAATCTTGCCCGAAGGTGCGCCACCTGTCAACACTTTCAGAAAGCTCCCAGAAGGCCAGCGGTTAAGTACGCCCCCATCAGCACAACAATACCATTCTCAAGATGGGGCATCGACCTAGTAGGCCCACTGCCGAGGGGGACGTCCAACAACAGGTACATCATCGTGGCCATAGACTACTTCACAAAATGGGTGGAGACAGAGCCCCTCCCCAGCATTACCGAGGCTAGGTGCCGCCATTTTGTTCTCAAAAACATCCTCACAAGGTTTGGCGTCCCCCAACAAATCATCTCCGACAATGGAACTCAGTTTGAGGCAGCCCTCTTCTGCGCCCTTCTGGAAGCATGGGGGATCAAACACACCTTTTCCTCCGTAGTCTACCCTCAAGGCAACGGCCAAGTCGAGAACGCCAACCGCACAATATTGGAAGGCTTCAAGAAGAGACTGGAGGCCGAAGGGGGAGGCTGGGTCGAAGAACTTCACAACATCCTATGGGCCTATCGCACCACCCCTAGGAGAGCAACTGGCGAAATACCCTTCTCCTTGTGCTATGGGTTCGAGGCTAAAGCTCCCACTGAGGTAACTCTCCCCACCCGAAGGGTGGATTAATACGAACCTGAGATCAACGACGCCAATATGGCCCTCGACCTTCACCTAATCTCGGAGCGTCGAGAGCAAGCCTTCTTAAGGGCGGAGAACTACCGAAGACAAGTAAAAGGCTACATCGACGCCAAGGTCCGTTCCCGAAAATTTCAAGTGGGGGACTATGTCCTCCGAAGGAGGGATGATAGTCAACCGACCGAGGGCGGCAAAATGGCACCAAGTTTGAAGGGCCATACGTAGTTACGACCATCATCAAACCTGGAACATACAAGCTAAGACGCCCCAATGGGACCGAGGTCCCTAGGTATTGGAATGTACACCACCTAGTCAAATTCTATCAGTAACATATGAGTGGCCAAACCCTCATAACTTACAAATGTACTTATCCAACGGCTCAGGGCCCCCTCTTTCTCACAAGAATAAATATATGTTGAGACACCAAGTACCAAGTACAAAGTGCATGTGAGTGGCCAAGCCCTCATCACTCACCAATATACGTGATCAATAGCCCAAGGCCCCTCCTTTCATAAGGATGAATAAAGTGTGACACCGACACACCAAGTACCAAGTACAGGGTGCGCGAAATATGAACACCATTCTTAAAGACACCAAATGATTTTCAGTAAGCCGTTCCCCGCGAGGGAGTCCCCATGCATATATTAGTTCATGCATGTTTGTACACAAAAAAACCGAAGGCGTCATCTATCGGTCCCGGAGGCACCAAGTGCCGCCGGCCATTTGCGACTAATATGCAAATAAAACCCTTTCTTGAAACGCTTTTCGAGCCATTACCCCAAGGGAATGGCAGGCAACAGACTATGTCCCGGGCCCAGGATTCGACTTTCACAAACGAAACTCTTCTCGTGCTATCTCTCAAGGGGAAGCAGGCAATGGACTATGTCTTGGGCTGAGGGAACGACTTTCAAAACCGAGATGCTTTCCGCGCCATCCCCCAAGGGGAGGGAGGCAATAGACTATGTCTCGGGCTGAGGAAACGAATCTCAAACCCCTCGGAACCCGGAAGGTTAACACCAAGAGGGGAGCCAACAACTTATATCGTTGCCTCCCATACAGACCAAGTCTTCCCAGGAAACCAAGTTTCTTGAAGCCTCCCATCACCCTTCAAAAAAAGTGGGTGAAGGGCAGTAGACTCAACGAGCAATCAATGAGTAAAAGTTTTACAGTCCACAACGGAACACCCTTCGGCAGCACATACATGAAATCAGAAGTTTTCTCTCAAGGCAATCCAGCCACCACCGAAGGCTCCTATTCTACAAATGGGCTAAATTTGGCTAAGTCCACGTTTTGGAAGCCTTCGGCACATCATCCAACACCGAAGGCTCCTATTCTACAATTGGGCTAAAATTGGCTAAGTCCACACGTTAGAAGCTTCCGACAGATCAGCCATAGCCGAAGGCTACTGGTTGGCTTACAAGTTGAAACGAATGTGTTTCTAAGTCCAGGACTTAAGGGCCCCCGAAATCAATGGAGGGGGATCATAACTCATTCATGAGAATCAAGCAGTACAAAAAAGGGGGAGAAACTAAGGTACAAGAACGAGGGCTAGCTGTCTCACGCGAGTAAAGTACAAGGCGTTGTCCGAGGTCTCAGTGGTGAGCTTACTTAGAAAACTTTCTAAGTCCTAAACATTCGGCCCTCGGCCGACTATTGAGGACTCATAAAACATACATACATTCATAAAGTTTGAAGGAGGCATAAAGGTAGACGAAGGCATCAACAACAAATCCATTCCTAAAAAAATAGACAAGCAAATTCAGACATCAAAAAGCCCGGAGGCATTCATTCAAAGATATTCATAAGCATAAGTTTTACATTGTCTACAAGCATGGTCGAAGCCGAGGGGATACTAGTACATACAAGAAAAACGCTAAGGAAAATTCCCCAAGTCTTTGCTTCTTGAGCACCCTCTTCAGCAGGCTTCGAGGTAACATCCTCCTCGGCCTCTTCCTCATCATCCTGCCTCTTGCATCCACATGGAATCCTCAAGGTCCGGCCTCTTGACACTCGGAGGGAGGGGGATGCGGATGTCTAGCTGAAGGGGGGAAGGCTATAGGCTGCCAGATTGAACTCCATTGGGTCCACCCCGTAATGCCGGGTGAGCCTCCGATAGACGAGGACTCGAGTAAAGAACTCACCCCCGTCATAATAAGCCTTACCCTTCTGAGCCAACCATTCAACGTCGGGGCCACCGACGCAATCATCAACGATCGCTTCCACTACCGAAGCCAACCATTGCTTTTGCTCCTCGGCTTTCCAACCATCAGTGACGAAGGAGACAATAGCATCCTTCCAAGCCTGGGCGATGGCCTCTTTCTTGGTTGCCTCGGCTTCCTCAACAGCAGTCTTGGCAGCTTCAGCAGCGGCCTTTTCAGCTTTGGCCTTGCCCTCGGCGTTGGCCTCCTTCCTTGCAGCCTCTAGCTTCTGTTCCATTCCCTCGGTGGCCTGCCGAAGGCTTTCCTCCAATCTTGCCATCTCCCTCACGACGGCAACATTCTATATGACAAGCCTTTTTAAAGTCTCGTCAGACTGCGCCTTCTGGAGGCGCAAATCTTCCACCCTCCAGATCTGCTCGCTGAGGCCGATGCAAGCCTATAAGCAGACAAACAAATGATAAGAGTTAGACTACTATGAAGGGTACACCAAGGCACGGAGACAAAAAATGTGGGGAATCTTACAGTAAGAGAGGCACGGAGGATCTTGGAATCGAGGGCGTCATCCTCATACTGGCTGAGGGCTGCCTTATCCAACTGAGGGGTAGCACCTCTCAGGAATTCCCTCGGGTCCAGGGGGACGTGCATGATGGCAGTCCCCTTTGTAATGGAGAACTGTACATTCTCTTGAGGCTAGACCCCCTCACCCATCTGTTCCGAAGGGCGGTTGGAAGAGGTCATCGCCGTCACGACCAGGGGCTCAGGAGAGGAGTGCTCCTCAAGAATCACGATGGGGGTAGCCTTCTTCTCGGCATCCCCTTTTTTATGCTTCTTCCCGGCAGGTATCACAGCTTTTCCCGCTTCTTTCCTCTTCCTAGCCGCGGCTTGGGTGCCTCCGGCATCGGCATCAGCAAGGGCATCAC